GTATCCTTGTCATACACCATATGAAATAATCAGCTTGAAATGTATTAAAGCCTTAAATGTATGACCTGAAACCATAAAATTCCTGAAAGAACACAGGGAAAAAGCTCCTTGACAGTGTATCCTTGTCATACACCATATGAAATAATCAGCTTGAAATGTATTAAAGCCTTAAATGTAAGACCTGAAACCATAAAATTCCTGAAAGAACACAGGGAAAAAGCTCCTTGACAGTGGTCTTGGCAATAATTTTTTGGATGACATCAAAGTACAGGCAACAAAAGCAAAAATGAACAAGTGGTACTACATCGAACTAAAAACTGCACAGTGAAGAAGACAGTCAACAAAATAAAAAGGCAACCTAGGAATGGGAGAAAATATTTACAAAGCATATGGGGCTAATATACAGAACATATAAGGAACTCACACAACTTAATAGCAAAAAACAGATTACCCAATTAAAAAATAAGCAAAGGACCTGAATAGACCTTTTTTCAAAGAAAATCTCAAAGCTGCCAACAGGTACATGAAAAGGTGCTCAACACTGCTAATCATCAAGGAAATGAAAATCAAAGCCATAAGAGATATCACCTCATACCTGTTAAGGATGGCTATTATCAAAAAGACAAGAGATAAAGAGTGTTGCTGAGTATGTGCAAAAAAGGGAGCCTTTGTATATACTGCTGTGGAAATGCAAATTGGCACAGCCATTATGGAAAACAGTATGGAGATTTCTCAAAAAAATAAAATAAATAAAACTAGAATCCCACTTCTGGGTATGTATCTGAAGGAAATAAAATCAGCCTTTCTTAAATATAGGAAAATCCCACAGGGCCATTATTCATATGTCTTCTCTTGCCTTATTGCTCTCTAAAGTACCTTTTCTACCTTTCCTTAGTCACCATCATTCTGGGTGTCTTAAAATGTATACGAAATTTGTTTTAATTAGATATGATACAGCGACAGACATGGAGAGAGACAAATGCCTTTAAAAGAGGAGTGTATTTCTTATGGTTCTTAACAAGGGGGACATGCTATATCACTCAGAGCCATATGGGGAAGTACAGAGTCTGTCAGGAGGCAGAAGGAATGAAGGGAGGAGTGGGCGAGGCAGGGTAGGCAAGCTGGAGCAAGTTCAGTATTGAATAGTTTGAATAATCTTTGCTATAGGGATGTTCTGTAGTTGTCCAACACCTGGCCCTAAAGTGATTTAGGGCAGGAGAAATATTGGCTCAGTGGGTGCACGTTTGACAAAGGAGTTTGTTGGGGATATTGGCTTTGGAATGATTGGTTTGTATATAAAAAGCATGCTTGCAGGCAAGTTCTTCACTATGTCTAGGAATTAGCTAGCCCTGGAGGGGCTATCTCTCCCTGGCCAGCAAGGTCTCCAAGATGTTCACACATAATAAACCTGGGTTAAACCTGAGGCATCAAAACATATCAACAGATTGACATAATATAGATAGAAAAAGTAATAATAATATAGTTTTCATTCAGATTATGCTTTGACATGGTTTTTATATGGGTAAGGGGTTATTGCCATATTTTTCTGGGAAGCTTTTCCTAAATGCACGGGATACGTGTTTTGTTCAGATTTTACTGCTAATACTGCTATGTAATGTGGGATCTACAAGTAGTGGTGGTGAGAAGGCTAGATCCGAGATTTTTTATAAAACTTTCAGGTTACTATGGTGTTGTCCTACCCTCTGCTCATCCCCCAACACACACTAGTAACAACGATAGTAGGTGTTGAAAGACCATTGTTACAAAAGTGCTTGGGTGATTTTCTCTTGAAGCCACAATTATGTCAACAGTGATGGGTAATAGGTGGTTGATGTGATGATAGGAAGATAAAAGGTGGGGCATTTTTTTTTTTTATTATTGCATGTGTCAAAGAAATTTTTTTTTCTTGAGAACTGTGTTCAGAAATTTGCATTCTGTGTTATATGGCAGGACCCTTAGCCAAGACCCTTACCCCAGGATCCTCAGTGCCAAAGCAGCAAAACTTTGTAAAAAACTAATGTGTGCTTTGAAACTTTTTGTAATTTAAGTAGGATATTTAAGTATTTCCGCCTATCTTCTCTTCCAGGAATGGACTGGATATACTTTACTGCCTTAGGTTTTATCATTTTTATTTTAAAAACCATTTGGAGGTAGGGGTCTTGCACATGGTTGTTGTGTTTCCCTTTTGCCTCATTCACCACACATCTTTTAAGCTGTCATAACTTCCACAGTTAGTGCAGACACAAAAAAAACCAAGACACTTTCAAAGTCCCTAAATTCAGAAAACTGAAAATATGGTGGAAGATCATGGTTCAGGGAATTAGGGGATGACACTGAATGCCTGACATCATATCGTAATGCAGTGTGAGTAATGCTGCAACAGAGGTATGAACAGAGTTTCGGGTAGTATGGAACCGAGAGAAAAGAGCAAATAATTCTTTTTGGATGAACTCATGATAGATTTATAAAGAATCTGGTTGTGTGCAATGGCCTAGGGAGGAGGGTTTTTAGCATTTGGAAGGCAGAATACCTGTACAAGGGAAATACTCACAGGTAAGTTGAGTTGTGAATTTCTGGTCGCGTTTAGCATATTTAGTAATCAGGGAAGATGCCTCATGGGTAAATCATCAGTTGCAGGTATAGAAGTTTAACATATTTCAAAAGTGGAAATGAAATATTATATATATATATATATATAATATATATATAGAAGAATATTACAGATAGGCAGGTAGGTAAGTAGATAGATATGTATGTAAGCTGAATCATTCTTTTTATGGGGGGGATTACAACTAAAAGATGGCTCTAAATTTGTTCAAGACAATTTAGACATGCTGTGAAGAGTGGAACCACTATTGCAATAAATGAATAACTACCCTGAGGGTTACTTTGCAGACGGTTTTTAACACGCCTGGACATAGACTTGGTAATTCTTTACTTTTGTAGTCATGTTACTGAAGGTGTTATTTTATCAGATCTGAAGTGTTGTTAAATAGTGGAGATTTAGAATTAATAAACTGAATTAATCTATATTAATGTATCATCAGCAAAATATGCTAAGAATGGAGAAATCTGGGCTAAAATCAAGGCTTCATTGGTTTATAGTACTAAAAGTAGTACATGGACTAAATAAGGGAGAAACTAATGTAAGCTGGAGTAAGAAAAAAGCTGTGATTTGAACCTGATGGATGGTTCAGATTTCAATATTTATAAAGAAGCAGGGGTGATGCCAGGAAGGAGGATTAACACAGTGATAGACAAGAACAGCAAGCTTTTGAGGACAGTGAGATGTAGGAGATCTAACAGCTAAGTGGTTAGTTTCCCTCCTTCCTTTCTACATCCCTGCCTTCTGCCTGTCTTCTACCATCCCCCTTCCCACTCTCCATTTCCTCTCCTCTTCTGACTTATCATTTTCCACCTTCCCTTTGCCTGCTCTCCCTCTGTCTCACACACACCCCATCATCACCATCACCCACACAGTCATCGATTGATGGCATATGTATATATGTCTACATATGTACACATACATACGTGCATGTGTGCTATCTAAGCTTGCAAAGATGATTAATAGTATTTTCAAGTTCCAATCCCCAGTTCTTTCCACCAAACCCATCCTATCAATGCCACCAATCCAGAACACTTGTCCCATGGCCAGCCCCTTCTTTAACTACAATGTAATGTCCTTCCTATTTGACTGCATCAGCTCCAGTTGCATGAATCATAGGGGAAAAAAACCCTGAATACACCACAAACAGCTTAACCCACAATGCTCAGTTCACTCAATCATATAGAAATACTCCACTTCTTTAACTACAATGTAATGTCCTTCCTATTTGACTGCATCAGCTCCAGTTGCATGAATCCTAGGGGAAAAAAACCCTGAATACACCACAAACAGCTTAACCCACAATGCTCAGTTCACTCAATCATATAGAAATACTCCCAATATCTTTCATGTGTGTCTATACATGGCAATGTGGCAAGTGCTGCAGTACATGATATGTAAGACTTGGTCTTTTCCTTCTGGGCTTTGATGCTATGTGCATGTTCACACATGTGTGCATGTGTATGTAATAATAAGCAAAATTACAATAAGAAGCAAGATTTATTGAGCACTTACATTGCATCAGGCACTGTTCTATAAACATTAACCTGTATAATTTTTATAAAACCTTACAAGGTAGAGACTCTATTTTTCCATTGTACAGATGAGACAATTTAAATGACATGTGAAAACTGTATTGATATCATGAAGTAGGGCATTAAGAATTACCAAATAATTTACTAATTATGAGCAAAGAAAGGGGATTGAGTTCTGCTGCTGCCTGCTTGTCACCTATCTTGGTATTTTCCCAGAAGAAGTGAGGTAAAATAGAAAAAGCAGCTGGATAGCTTTGGTCTGAATTCTCAGCCCTGTGAATGAGCTGTAGGACTTTGGACAAATTATTTATTTTATGGCTTCAGTCTAGTTTCCTTATCTGTCAAGGGGGAAAAAATAATACTTTTGTTGTAGTCATTTCCCTAGAATTAAGTGATACAACATTAATAATGTCGTGCCATTACAACAATAATAATGATAGTGGCAATTTATTAAGTATGTAGTAGCCACCAGGTCCTGAAAATTTAATACGCATTATGTACATACATATAGGCATCATTACCCCCTTTTAATACATATGCAAATTGATATTTAAAAGTAGATTTGGCTTAGCGTCACCAGACCAACAAACGTCAGAACAAGGATTCAGATCCAGATCTGTGTTCCTTTAAACTTGATTCTTTTTTCTTATATGATATGTGGTAATATACATATAGTACATAGGTGCCACATATGTTAATGCACATGTAGTACCATCCATCTCTTATCAGTGAGATTGCTTGGGGGTGCTGTAATTCTTTAGGGCTTTCATCCTTCACTCTCGAAAGGCTCAGAATCCTCTTGCAGCTGAAGAAAATGCTCAAGCAGAGAGGCACGTGTGCTTGAGGGAAGAAGACATTGTCATGCACAGGAACTGTCTAGCCAAGGAACAGGGGACCTCAGGGGCAGATTGAGGGCATATAGACAGTGTACCACCATCATCTGGTTCAACCCCTTATCCTGCATGTTGCCTGTAAATTAACTTGAGCATGAAACTATGGGTTGAAGGCAGTGTATTTCAAATGTTTTTTTTGTTTGTGTATCTTTGGGCTCCATGCAACATGCTAACTTACAAGAATTTGAGAGCACCTGGCGTAATCCACAGGTGTGTCATCTCATCTCCACATTGTAGACCTCCTGACAGTGCTTTAAGAGAGGAATGAAGTCTTATGTTTCTGACTCCTTTCAGATCCCTTTGGGAAGACGGATGAGCGGGAACCACTCACCAATGCAGTTCGAAGTGATTCAGCGGTCATTGGAGGTAAACCATGCATTATTGCTGAAAGCAAAAAGACGCAAATGATCCTCTCCTTGGTAAAAATTTATCTGAAGCCTTCATTAATATGGCCATACAGCACCCAGAACCCTACATTACAGTAGTTCCCCCTTTCCCATGGTTTCTCTTTCCACAATTTCAGTTACCCATCATGAACCATGGCCCAAAAATATTAAATTAAAAATTCCAGAAATGATTCACAATTTTAAAATTACATTCCATTTTGAGTAACAAGATGAAATCTTGCACTATCCCTCTCCTTCCCATCCGAGATATGTATTATCCCTTTGTCCAGTGTATCCACACTGTGTATCTACCCACCCAGTAGTCATTAGTAGACGGTCATTTAGGAGCCATCTCAGTTATCACATTGGAAAAATATGATATCTGGAGGAATCATTACTATCCAGAGTTTTCAGGGTCTTGCAACATATTCCCAGCAGATGAGGGGGTCTACTATATCTGTAAGACTGTGAGACTTTTTATGAATCATCATGTGTGCTGAGTGATCAAAGGCACCGTCTCCCCCAGCGCAGCAGCTCTGCAGATTCATTCCGCCTCTGATTCATCAGGCAGCTGAGCTCTGAGTCAACATCTGGAGCATTTCCTTACAGACAGGCAGCCTGCATCCTGTTCATCTCATCCAGTTGTCACTTTTCCTAAAGCACAAACAAAGCAGACCAATAAAATACATATTGGGAAGAAGCCACATTGGGGCAGGACAGATGGGTGAAGCCGCAGTCCTGTCAGTTTTCTCTACCAAGTGATTTGGGCTAGATCTAATGAGCAGGGTGAAGCCCACGGGACTATAGTTACAAATCCAGCAGCACATATGGTTACAGATGCAGATGTTGTCTGCTCTGCCGTGAGCTCAACTCCCCACCCCCTCCCTTGCTTTCCATTTTCTCACTACCTGTTGGTCTCACCCCTTTTTTCTGCCTCAGCGTGGCTGTTGCCTGCTGTAGCTTGATTTTTCTATCTGGGTCTTACAACACAGAATGAGTCCCAAGCCTTGTTTAATGTAAGATGCTTGCGAGAGACAGAATTCATTTCCATCCAAGAACCATACCCCTATCTGGTACCTTCATCCCTGCCTTCTGTCAGCCTAGATAAACTGAGCCACATCACGTGGAACTCTCCTTTTAAAAGTTAGTATCCATTCATTTAACTTGTATTTAATGAGCCCATCTATGGGTCAGGCCCTGTGCCAAATTGAGGCTTATGGGGATGAAAGACATGGATGTTGTCTGCATAGAACTCACAGCCTGGCTGGGGAGGAGACAAGTAAACAAGCCATACAACCAGTGAATACTTTTCTGAGGAAGGAAGTACAAATGGCAATGGAAGCCCAGGGGAGCACTGTTGCAGTAAGATCGTAAGGAAGAAAGATCATGACCTTCCCTTAAGGACGTTCTGAAAATGTCTGACCTGAATTTCTGCTTCAGAGAAGTGGGTCCAACTCGGTTTGTTTGTTTGTTTGTTTGTTTGGCATCAAGAAATGTGGGGGGAAATGTTGTGCCTATTTCTCGTCCTACAATTTTCCATTTGACAAGTGGAGAAAAGACTTTTGTGAACTGCTGACTTTTCCCACCCATTTACATGCTCTGTGAATCTCTCAAAGAGTAGTTCCTGGAGGTTTGCACAGCCTTTAACTCTGAATATCCCATGCATTGAAGGAGTAGAAACCAGTTCCCTATTTCATCTCCTAAAGCTCACTCATGGGAAGCACTCACTGCCTACCAGTATATTTATAGGTTTGTTAACTTAAGTGGTTTTACTCTGCTTTGTTCTAAAATAGCCGGTGAATATGCCACATAATGATTCAAGGGCCGACCCCGTGGCTCACTCAGGAGAGTGCGGTGCTGGGAACACAGGGGCGCTCCTGCTGCGGGTTCGGATCCTATATAAGGATGGCCGGTGCTCTCACTGGCTGAACACAGTGTGGGCCACACCAAGCCAAGGGTTACGATCCCCTTACTGGTCACAAAAACCAAACAAACAAACAAACAAAGATTCAAAATATATGTTTGTGTGTGTGTGTATAAATAAGAAATCTTAATCACAGCCATAGCTCTACAAACATTTGGTGGAAGATATGCAATCCATATATTTAATTTTCAAATATCTACACTTGTGCAAATCATAATGCAGTCTGTTCCACAATAACTTCCTAAAATAGACATTTCTTTCCATATCTACTCTCCTTAGAAAGAAAAAACAGAACAGCAGAATGTACAATATATTAGGAATTAATAACCTTTGATTATCATAAATATTTACAAATACTTTAGTGCTAAAAAGCCTACATTTATGTACAGACACATTCTCCCCACTTCCACATTTTTACCACCCCTTTGCTGATAGTGCCTTTTATGTCCCAGTATGCTTCCTGACAAAAATAGTGGCGAGACCTTAGGGTCATCCAGGACAACTTGCAAAACAGAACCAGTAAAATTACATACAATCAAAATGAGAGGGGATCTGACAGGACTTTGAAGAAGTTTGCCATCTCTATGAACCCTGAGTTTTTCAAGGGCAGAGGCATCCCATCTGTGTGCTAACCTGTGTCTGGTGGGGTGCAGAGCAGTGTAGGAATGCCATAAAGTTTTGGTAAGCATATTATTATTAATGAAATGTCTTTTTTTTTTTTTTAGCAAAACATATAATATGAAACAAATTTACAACAAGGGAGCATGCATCGGGATGTGAGATATTTAAGTATTGTTTTCTAGGATGCTAAAGTATTTCTAAAATATTTACTTGCAAGGTAACAAGGCAATGTGCTAATTACAAATGACACATTCTTTAAAGCAGACCTTAAAAAAAATTACTAAGAAATTCTTTTCTAGTCCAAAACCATATTTATAAGATGACATTTTTAGTCCATTAAACAAACCCAACTGTGATTTAAACTGGCTTTCTCTCAGCTGGTCTGAAAGAAGGTTTTATAGTAATTGAAGATGAGGGTATTTCAGCAGGTCTTTAATTTCAGGACATGTGGCTGAGTTTTGTGTGTGTGTGTGTGTGTGTGTGTGTGTGTGTGTGTGTGTGTGTGTGTGTTTTCCCCCTCCTAAGTGCCTCCCTTGTCTAGACTGAATCATCTCTCTTGAGCTGATGATCTGTGACAATTTTCTTCTTTCTTCCCTTCCCCTTTCTCTACAGGAGTAATAGCAGTGGTGATATTTATCATCTTCTGTATCATTGGCATCATGACCCGGTTCCTTTACCAGCATAAGCAGTCACAACGCAGTAGCCAGATGAAGGAGAAGGAATATCCTGAAAATTTGGACAGTTCCTTCAGAAATGATATTGACTTGCAAAACACAGTCAGCGAGTGTAAACGGGAATATTTCATCTGAAAAACTGCAGGGTTGCCTAATACTCTTTTTTGTTGTTCGTTTTTTTCTCTCTTTGTCTTCTCTCTCCAGTCTTTTAATTTTGGTCATTCTCTTTCTCTTTTTCATTTGCCATTTCTTTTTTGGAACAAACCTGCACCCACCACAACCTTGATCCCCTTGACCTAGCCCAGGAGAACAGGCAGCTATGACCACTGCCTTTTTCTCTGACAAACCAATCATGGTGAAAAATGACCACACAGGAGACTGCCTTTACTGTTGTAGACAAGGAAGAGACACATGTGCACACATGCGTATTCAGTTCTGTCTTTCCAGTTTCTCAAACACTTTGTTCAGTTTTGAGCCATTCAGTCTTACAGGTTTACTTTGAACCTGAGCTCTGTGACTTAGGCATATAATAGTCATGCGTGACAAGCTCTTCCACCTCAAGTCCATTTGTACCAGGGAACCCAGGGCAGAGAGAGAATATCCTAGAGGCCTGGTTTGCTTCAGTAGCATTTGAAAAGGAACAAGAGAGGTGCATTTTGCATTAGTTTGATTTTCTTACCACAGGAACCCTCTTACCCTAACTCATCCCCCTTTCTCACTATGACTCTTATCCCCTGGGTATTTTCAAATATAGAATTGCTGATAGTAGCGAGCAATTACTTTTGTCCTTTCTGACCACTTTCTCCTGGGGCTGACACTTTAGAGCAGCGCACAATAGCATAAACCTAGCAAAAGCATGGAAATAGTAGCTTGAAAGTATTTTCAAATATAGAATTGCTGATAGTAGCGAGCAATTACTTTTGTCCTTTCTGACCACTGTCTCCTGGGGCTGACACTTTAGAGCAGCGCACAATAGCATAAACCTAGCAAAAGCATGGAAATAGTAGCTTGAAGCTAGGAGGTAAAAAGAAAGCTGCTAGAAAGTAGATGTTCCATAACTTCAAAAATACCTCCTCCAATTTTGTAAGAAATGTTATTTAGGTATTCCTTGGATTATTATATTGAAGTAAAAATACATATATATATACACACATAAAGAAATGTTATTTAGGTATTCCTTGGATTATTATATTGAAGTAAAAATACATATATATATATACACACATAATATATATATATATATATATATAAGTTGCAGCAGCATAAAAAATTCAAGTAAAAGTCTCAAATAGTACCTGGTTCAATGCAAAAGCTTAAACCATCTTAACTCAGCTTTAAAACAAAAACAAAAATGAAGACAAAACAAAAAAGTAAATTAAAACTGAATGAAAGAAGAGAAATACCAGACTTCTTCCCTTCCATCCACTCACTAAAGACCTGGTGAAGAAAGTGAGTTGAGTTTGCAGGTTTCACATTTTAGAACAGACATAATGAATCCATTCTGTCCACTATACAGTTGATTTCAGAGGAGCTCTTGGGTTCTGCAGCACATCCCATTTTCAAATCTGCCACACACTGTGTGTATAAATCCCCTGTACCACAACACACACACCTCTTCACAGGCTTGAACTCCCAGATGAGGTGGTTACAAAATCACAGGCACTCCTTCAAGCAGGTGTCTTGAGCTCATCTATAAGGTGGTGGTAGAATCCTGATGATTTTGCTGTAGCGATATTCCTAACTCTGTGCCCCGAGCCATCCTGGAGAAAAAGGTAAATGGAAAATAACACAAAACAATGTACATGTCCTAGGATACTGGAAATGCCAATATAATGATCCACAGATCTGGAAAGTACTTGTGGATTCTCTTTACAAGGAAGATTCAATTTGGAAAACAATTACCACATCTCTGTCTGCCGGCTTTGATGGTTAACAGACATTCCATCTTGTTGTTAGTGTGCTTCCTGCCTCTGGTTACTTAGCATCTCCTGCGTGAGGAGGCTCACTCGGAGGATCTTATTAGCTTCATCCCATTTCAAGTCCACAGCTTTTCCTTCAGTTTCGGAGACTGAGGGGTAAGGATTTAGTTGTAACCGTATTTCTCAACTTTAAATGTAGTTACAAATACACATTCTCTCCTTAAAATGTTCCATGGATTTTTATTTAATCACTTCATCATCTCCATTGTGTGTGTGTGTGTGTATGCTTTTTAAAGTAAATTTATTTTAAAGTGATTCTAACAAGGATACCTTTCTTTTTCTTTTAGCTTTAGTAAGATGTGTGATTCTTTAATATGATGAAAGATCTTTAAATACTGATTCCTCCTGCCCTTTCATCTCCTTTTTCTGATTTTCACTTTTGAATTTTATATTTGCATAGATAGGCTGTGTAAATCAGCCTTTTGCTTGGCTACATATTCCTTTGTCCCCTGAAATAAAAGTCACCATGAAGTGTAGCGGGTTTAGCCTCAAGCATCTCCAATAATGAAATGGAAAGGAAAGGGGAGGTGTGAGTAATAAAGCTGGAACTCTTCATTATTCAAGTCTCTGTGAAGCGAGGATCTATATTCTGCTGACATAGCGCTGACAGACGAAACAGAGGACTAGCAAAGGCCAATTCAGAGCATTTGATTTTCTCGTCCACTCATATGTGTTTGTAGATTTTCCTGTAGATTAAGAATTTGTGAAGCTCCATCCTTATCCTACCTGTACTACAAAACCTCCTGGCATCCTCCCACATGTGCAGACCAGCTGTACACGTACACTATGTCCCGCAGACCTAAAAATGGATGCCAAGCCAATGCAATCTGCACATCACTCATAAGCAGTCTCAGGGCTAAATCAGTCTGTATTATAGCTAAATCTCAAGGGCAGAGGCAGAATTATTTTTACAGGGTTGGATTATTTCATAACTCCAGAGAACACTCTAACTTTTCCTAGATGCATATAAAATGCAAGCAAGCTATACCCTCCAAAGCATAACACTATTTACAGTTAGAAATAAGTGCTAACTCTACCTATCTCTCCTTGGTAGTAGCAAGATCCACCTACTTTTATGCAATTGTTTGATTGTGTGAGTGTTTCCATCCTTGAACAATTATAATCTAAAACTATTCTTTGAAAGCATTTGAATCCCTCCTTAACCACCTTTTTTTGCTTCCTGACTTCATGCTCTGGCCAACTGGACCACCATAATCTCCTTCACTTTAAGCCTCAGTCTTTGGTAACTGCTGTTTACAAAAAGATTTTATGGAATATGGTCACTTTGCAGTGAAACAAAAAATAGTTTTGCAATTTCAAATTCTAAGGAGGCTGCTTCATTGATATTATTTTCACCAAACAAATGTATTTATATAAGCAACCATATATATTTGCTTATCCTAAAATATGTATAACACTCAATGCATCATCTGTTGTGTGTGCAGGCTAGATTGCCAGGGTTTCTATGAGAATTTGTGTAGAGAAATAGACATTTGTCATTTCTCTAGATATATTTTTATGAATAGCTTAGCCTCTTCTATTCACTCTCAACTGTACATAGAAAATTTATTTTAAGGATCTTGGGACTGATTTTTTAAAACAATTTTGTTCTCTTTAGTAATTGAAGAGGTGGCATTAACCTGACTTCTACCTTTTGTCAGAGCCATGCTCACCACAGGGTAGCAGAAGCAGGATGAAAACAAAAGGGATTGTTCTCTTCTTTTTCTATTCATTCATGAAGTATTTATTGAATGCCCAGCACTCCAGATGTTATGCTAGGCATTGGTGTACAAATATAAAATACACCTTGTTCTTGATCTTGGGGAGCTCAAAGTCTAGCCGGGGAAGCATATGTTGTTCTAACTGGGGTATATATAAAGTGCTATACACCGCCGTGTGAAGGTCCTGCACAAATACTTCTATAAAGCGCTTGCTAGAGATGGAAAGAAACTGATAAATTTCTGATAAATATTTATAATTTTGTTTCTTGTTTATCACTTCCACCTTCAATAAGATGCTTTGTTACCCCTCCTCAAAGCGAACACCTATCTGTGCATGTAGATTTCTGTAGAAGGAGATGGATTGACGTTTTAGGGACATCAAGAAATAGTTTCTGCCTCTGCCATACTTTGGGGGAGGCTGAATTCTCTACACTCTTAATTCTGATAGGGGGACTCTAAGAGTCTTCCTTTCTAGTAGTTAGACTTACGCAAAGACTCGGGATTCTATAGCAACCTCCACTCCTGCTTCCCTTCTTGTCTATTCCCAGTTCTCTTACTGCTGTCTGTTTGTGACCTATTGCATGCCATTGCTCTTCCAGACAATCCTGAGGTTGGCTTTGTTGTTGTCCAGCTCTTCCTGAAACCCTCCTTTGTCCTGATGAACCGTTTTGACGCTACTCAGGAAAATCTCTGAGAGCTCAATAACGTCTATCTTTGCATAAATAATTGACTAAAAAGTGTTGTCTCTCTAAGTGAGGTCTCTTCTCTATGCCCTGGGTGAAATTTTCCAATCCTGAAGGTCATACATGCCCCTGTCTGCAGAATATTAATTCAGTTAGAGGAGCCACACTGGGAGGTACAAAGAGACCATATTCTTCAAGATATCTAGGGAGATAAGAATCAGGACTGTTGAATTTTTTCTTAGAAAAGTCCTTGACAGTTTGTCCACCAGCTGCCCTGGCATCCTTTGAAGTTCCCCTTCACCACAATCCACCTAAAACTTATTATGGTAGCACCAGCCTCCCAAGAGGCTTCTGAGACACTTGTGTATTTCTGCCACTCACTCTCCCTTCATCTATAGGTTTGGACATACTTAGTCCTCAATCGTCCCACAGGTCATGTGAAGACTAAATAAATAAACAGGCTTACTGTTTCCCCAGATGGCAAAGGCAGTTAATGGAAGAAGGTGCAAGCAAACTCAAAACTTTCAGAATTCTTGCAGGATAATTGAGTGCTATTTCGTGTCTCTCATGCAGTTTGAACATGTTTTCTTTAAAAGACACATCATGTAATTGAATTACTTCCATGCACTGTTCTTGGGTTTTTCCTAACCTCTATTCTCATCCCTTGCCCACATTTTGACTTGTTAAGCCATCTGGCTTGTAGATTTTGGTCACCCCTAATTCTCATCTCTGCATTCACAAATTTCAAATAGTCGAA